CAGCACTTTCATAGCATCATCTTTTAGGATTTGAAATAGCTCAACTGGAATTCCATCACCTCCACTAGCTTTGTTCGTAGTGATGCTTCCTAAGGCCCACTTGACTTCACATTCCAGGATGTCTGGCTCTAGGTGAGTGATCACACCATCATGATTATCTGCATCATGAAGATCTTTTTTGTACAGTTCTTCTGTGTATTCTTGCCAACTCTTCTTAATATCTTCTGCTTCTGTTAGGTCCAAACCATTTCTGTACTTTATTGAGCCCATCTTTGTATGAAGTGTTCTCTTGGTATCTCTAATTTTCTTGACGAGATCTCTAGTCTTTCCCATTCTATTATTTTCCTCTATTTCTTTGCACTGATCACTGAGAAGGCTTTCTTATCTCTCCTTGCTATTCTTTGGAACTCTGCATTTAAATGGGTGTATCTTTCCTTTTCTCCTTTGCTTTTCGCTTCTCTTCTTTTCACAGCTACTTGTAAGGCCTCCTCAGAGAGCCATTTTGCTTTGTTGCATTTCTTTTTCTTTGGAATGGTTTTGATCCCTTTCTCCTGTACAATGTCACGAACCTCCATCCATAGTTCATCAGGCACTCTGTGTAGCAGATCTAGTCCCTTAAATCTATTTCTCACTTCCACTATATAATCATAAGGGATTTGATTTAGGTCATACCTGAATGCATGGCGCTGGAGCAGCGAGCAGCTGAAAGGAGACACCCCTGCTATTTACCTGGGGCCAAACTATGGTGGAGGTAATGAAGAGAATGGCCACCTCCTTCAACAAGATCCCACGCATGCACTGCTACGCTCAGTGCCCCCAACCCTGCAGCAGGCCACCGCCGACCCACGCCTCCACTGGAGACTCCTGGACACTCACAAGCAAGTCTGGGTCAGTCTCCTGTGGGATCATTACTCCTTTCTCCCGGGTCCTGGTACACAAGGTTCTGTTTGTGCCCTCCAAGAGTCTATTTCCCAGTCCTGTGTAAGTTCTGGCAGCTCTATGGCGAGGTTAATGGCGACCTCCTCCAAGAGGGCTTATGCCATACCCAGGTCTGCCGCACCCAGAGCCCCTGTCCCTGCGGCAGGCCACTGCTGACCCGTACCTCCACAGGAGATGCGCAAACACAGTTCTGTCTCAGTCTCTGTGGGGTCTCTGGGTCCTGGTGCACACAAGGTTTGTTTATGCCCTCTGAGCGTCTCTGGCGAGAATGGGGTTTGATTCTAAACATGAATTCACCCCTTCTACAGTCTTGCTGGGACTTCTCCTTTGCCCTTGGACGTGGGGTATCTCCTCACAGCCACTCCAGCACCTACTGTCTTACTGGGGCTTCTCTGACCTTGGAAATGGGGTATCTCCTCACGGCCAGTCCAGCAAAGCACAGCTGCTGCTCCTGACCTTGGACGTGGGGGATCTCCTCACGGCCGCTAGCTGTGATATGCTATGGACTGGCCTATCCACGTAATGCATAGTAATCTCCTTTCCTTGGCAGCCTTAATTGCATTTGGAATTTTATTTTCTCTTTGCCATGTATCCTAACATACTCATAAATTCCAGAGATTAAGATAAGGACATGGAAGGGAGTGTGGAACAGGGGTAGGGGGTGGGGAGGGAAAGAACACTATTTCGCCTATCACAGATGGTAAAACTGGGAACAATGCATATATCACAGTAACTCCCTGTATGATTCTTATTAATAAAATAAAACTAGAAAATTGAAAAAGAAACTTAATTACCTATTTTGACTACTGCACTATGATTATATAAGTAAATATCTTTGTTTTCAAGAAATACAGAATAGATATTTCAGAGTAACTTACTCTTTCTCCTAAATAACTTATTCTCAAACTGTTCAGAAAAAAATTATATATATATACAGATATCTACCCACACACACACAAATACACACATATAGAGAATAGAAATAATGAATTCTTTGTATGGTCCTTGCAACTTTTAAGGGGGAAAAATCCAATTATTGGTACAGCTCATAAACAAAAAAAATAAGGAAACTGAAGATAACTGTGGAGAAGAAGAAATTTCACATGAAGTTTAAGTCAAGGTAACAGAAATTGTTCAGTCTAGAAGACTGAAGAGTGAGACAAAATATAACCGAAGATATTCACCGGAACTAGAGGGAAATTTTTAGTTTTTTGAAAAGCTATTTAACTTTGTCTTATTTACTAACTGAACTTGTCACTCTAAAAGGTTACATAAACTGAACAGTGGCATAAATTAAAACAAATTTCAGAATGAATTAGACAATTTCATTCATAGAAGATTACTAAGGAATGCTATATTTTGGCACATATTTCAAAACTTTAGAATTTGATATCAAAGAAGGCAAAGTGAAAGGTGAAGTTGCTCAGTCGTATCCGACTCTTTGCAACCCCATGGACTGTAGCCTACGAGGCTCCTCACTTGTACCACTTTAAAAACTAAACATGTTCTTCAACAATGAAGTGCATTCACTACGGACATAAATATGCTGGTAAATATATTTAAATATGCTGGCCAAAAAAAAAGGATTTGTGGCATTTATTCAAATAGAATAATTCATCCAAAAAAAATTGAGATTCCCCTTATAATTTAGTACCTCTGGGATTTTACTGTAATTGCACCTGTTGCACTCTTCCTAAAAACTACAGCTCCCTTAGCTAGACATTGTGCTGTCAATTCAGTAATATCCGATTCTATAAACTTATGGACTATAGTCTGCCAGGCTCCTCTGTCCATAGGATTCTCCAAGCAAGAATACTGAAATGGGCTGCCATGCCCTCCTCCAGAGGATCTTCCCAACCCAGGGATTTTCCCAACGCAGGGATCGAACCCTCATCTCTTCTGTCTGTTGCATTTGCAGGTGGGTTCTTTACCACTCGGAGAAGGAACTGGCAACCCACTCCAGTACTCTTGCCTGGAAAATCCCAGGCACAGAAGAGCCTGGTGGGCTACAGTCCATGGGGTTGCAAAGAGTCGGACATGACTGAGCGACTTCACTTCACTTCACTAGTGAACTTCACTAGCGACTTCACTTCACTTCCACTAGTGCCACCTGGGAAGCCCCTAGCTAGACATCGATGATTTGTAAATGCCCTATTAGCTAGACATCGATGATTTGTAAATGCCCTATGTAAGTCTTGGCAGCCATATTAAAATGGTCCTTTCAAACACAGGATGGATGTGGGGTTTTTTGCCTTTTTTTTTTTTCACTTTTTTACATGAAATAAAACTTCAATTTTTTAACTGACATACTGACCTTAATATTGATAAAATGTCCCCAACTGTCTATTAGTATCCTTTTCCCTGGTCTAGGATCCCCAACAAAGTCACATTTAATTGCTATGTCTCATAAATTTCTTCCAATGTGGAAAAATTTCTCAGTTTTTATCTTTTTTGACCTTGATACTTTTGAAGACTACTACTGGCTGGTCATCAGCAGGAAGCACAGGGTGTCAGAATGTCTCATGGTTAGTGATACCACCTTGAGTCTTTTATTTGGTTAAAGTGCTGTCAGCCAGGTTTCTCCAGTTCTACCTCAGTAATTATTAACTATCTCGTAGGGACATACTTTAAGACTCTGCAAATATCCTGCATCTCATCTTTTCACCCACCATTTTGACACCCAAGTACTATGCTATGTGTCAAATGGAAATTTCCTAGTTACATCATTCCACCTACATTTATTAATTGGGATTTTACTATAAGGAAAAGCTGCCCCTTTCCCTTTTATACACAAAGGTATATTTTTGTAAGTGGACAATCTCATAAGTAATCAAAAGAATGCCAATTAAAATAAGGATGTAATGGTTTTTAAACGATTAGAGTAACAAAGATGAGAAAGAATGGGGAAAAGAATGTTCAAATATTGCATCATTTTCTCATTATTTTGTTATCTTGTCACTTACCCTGAAGAATTTTATGACACTGTGACATGAATAACCACTCATGTTTAAAATGGCTTGAAAGTAATTAAAAGAAGCTTTTCATTAATAAGCTGCTACTGTAATAACTTAAAATTTTGCTACAAAATGTACAAATAACAGTATATAGCAGATTAAATTCAATTTAATCACTATACCTCTTATGTCATCCCTTAGAATATTATGATAGTTATAATTTATTGGGAACATATCACTGAGCTAAGCTTGTGGTGCAAATTATCTCAACTAATCCTCAAAATTACCCTCAGAAGTAGATATCATCATATCCATTTTATAGATTAGGAAACTGAGGCTCAGTTTTGTGAAGTGTCTGAAGACTCATAGTTAAGCTTCAGAAATCCATATTCAAATTTTCGTGTAGATAACTCTGAACATCAATACCTAAATTTTCAACTTTACACAGGAAAATACTTTTGAGAAACTTTAGATAATAAACTTGAAAATAGCTTAAAATGTAACCTAAAAGTCTAAGAATAGCTTGGGAATTAACATTCATATCTGAAGCATTTCTACTTTGCTATGAATAAAAGTTGAAATTACTTGGCCAAACACAATTGTATCCTGAATTCCTAAGTATAGAGCAGTAACTATATTTATTCTCTTGGGGACTAGTTAAGTTTTTGATACCTTGTTTGTAATAAGATTTATTTTTTTAATTTTTAAAGCATAAGTCAGCACTTTAAAACTGAATTTAAAGTTTTAAATTAAAAAAAAATACAGAGAAAATTATTCACCCTATCACAAAATGCTGAAGCTCACTCAACATTCAGACTTGCTCTTGACTTTTGAGGCCACAAAAAAACTATCTAATAATAAACATAACTACTTACAGTTCAGAAGTGGGTGCATACAAGAAATGTCAGACAAAAGAAATCTGCTTTTTGGTGGCAGCAGGTATTTCTGTCCCATTAAAGTAATCATTTTTGTAAAGCTAGAAGTATTTTCAACAATCCGTGAAAATAAATCCTGCTCTGTAACAGAGGCATCATCTTCCATCAACTGTAACGTCTGAAGTTCCACTTCATTCAGAGAAGGCAAATGCTTTGCCATTTCACACAATTCTGACAAATTACAGGTATCAAGTGGTAAAGTAATTGGCTCACTGCACTTGTTCCGTTTTTCAGAACATGAATGAAGAAAGCCACTTGTGAGACCTTCTTGGATTAACTGTGAGGATCCATCCAAAATCAGCCCCCTTATCTGTAAGAGAATTTAAGTATATTAAAACATCACTGACATTAAAACAATTTTCTAAATAATAAAGTTTCCTACTATGCTTTGAATATTTCAACTTATGGATTAAAGCCAACATTCTTAATGCTTACAATAAAATAATTTTATACTACAAGAAAAAGTAAGTGTGACTATACCTTTGAATGGCTATTTCCTAACTGTGGAATAATATAAATCTCATAAATTCACTGGAAACTAAATAACCAAGCAATATATATTTTTAAAAATCCTTAAAAATTTATAAGATGAATTTGATGATGTTTCTAGAAGTGAAAATTCTAGTCTATAAAAAGAATTAAGTTTTAATCACATTTAATCTTAATTTTTCTAGTAATTTTTAATTTTAAAATAAACATATCTTTGATTTCATAAAAATACAGCTTGAATTGTTAAAGAAAAAGTCAACTCTATAAAATGAATACAATTTTAAAAAGTTTTGCAATAACAGAACCAAAACAATTATAAAATTAAAAGCCAGTACTGCTTCTGGATAAGATGGAGTACTTTTCATCTGAAATTACTTTTAAAAAGTTATTTTCAGAAAAAAGGCTTTCAGACCTTGGGTGGATGTCAAGCACCGCAGAATATTATTATTAATACAATTACACATGTACTCAGTCATGTCCAACTCTTTGCGGCCCCATGGACTGTAGCCCACCAGGCTCCTCTTCTGCCCTTGGGATTCTCCAGGCAAAAATTCTCCATGGCTGACATTCTCCAGCCATGTCCTCCTCCAGGGGATCTTCCCAACCCAGAGACTGAACCTGCATCTCTTGCATCTCCTGCATTGGCAGGCAGATTCTTCACCACTGCGCCACCTGGGAAGCCCCAGAATTGTACTCCCTAAATAAAAGGAGAACCCAATTGCTCCAGCTTACTGCCTTGAGAAAGTTTTCATGTAGCAGGACAGGGAGGAGACCGGTTCAGAGACCAGCAGTCTCTCGGAGTCAAGGAACTAGAGCTGGGAGTCTGGAAGGGCCAAGGTGGGGAGAGTTTTCGGGGGGGACACCAGAGCAGAGAGCGGCACAGACATAGAGCTCTTGAGAGTTGCAGGTCAAGTCTCCAGCTGAGCAGTGATCAGTACATACATGTGGCTTCTTAATTTAATAAACTTGTTACTTTAATACTTTGATCTAAATCTGTTTTAATAAAATCTTGCTAACTTGTTAGCTTCTAAATAAAGTAAAATCATCATTGTTCTTGACAGGGGTACTGGGTGCATAACAGATTTTGTGTCAGTAAAAGGGAATAATCATCAGCCTTAGACTAAAATCCTCATTCTAAACTCACCCAAGCAAAATCGACCCAACAAATGATAGACCAATAAACAAAAAATCTCTAAAGACAGAAGTTCTGAACAACACTATCAATCCACTTAACCTAACTGACATTCATAGAACATTGTATCCAACAACTAAAGAATACATATTCAAAAATATGTAAAAAATAGCACACAATACAGTCACAAAGATAATTCACATGCTGGACTGTAAAATAAAACTCAATAATTTTTAAGGACTCACATCAGAGTATATTCTTATACTCCAATGGATTTAAGCTAGAAATCAATAACAAAAAGATATTAAGATAAACATCAAATATCTGAGAATGAAATAACAGACTTCTAAATAATTCATATAGGTCAAAAATAAAATCACAAGGGAAATGAGAAAATATTTTGAAGTGAATGAAAGTGAAAATACAACATATCCAAATACGTGGAATACAACTAAAGCAGCAACTCAAGGGAAACTTACAGCTTTATATGCTTATATTAGAAAAGAAAAATGATCTGAACTCACTGACAAAAGGCTCTACTTTAAGAAGTTATTAACAGAAAAAGAGCAAAGTAAACCAAAAGGAAGAAAATAATAGACAACAAGTATCATCAGAATAGAAAACAGGCAGTAAGGAAAATTAACTAAGTTAAAAGCTGGTTCTTTGAATATACTTGACATCCTTTTACGTGTCTGATAAACGATTAATATTCAGAATATAAAAGAACTCCAAAAACAACACCAAAAACCCAATTTAAAAATGAGCAAAGGACATGAACAGCCATTTCTCCAAAGAAGACATACAAATGGCCAACAGCACATACAAATATGCTCAACATCAAAGATCAACAGAAAAATGTAAATCAAAACCACAATGAGACACCATTCTTACCCATTAGGATGGCAACTGAAAAAAAAGTAAAAACAGAAAATAAGTGCTGACATGGATATGGAGAAACTGGAAATGCTTATGCACTGCTGGTGGGAAGGCAGAATGGTACTACCACTGTGGAACACACGAAGGCAGTTCCTCAAAAAATTAGAAACAGAATTATCATATGATCCAGTAAAGCCACTTCTGGGTATACTCCCCAAAAAAACTGAAAGTAGGGACACTCATGTTTATGTGTGAGTGTATAAACATGTATGTGTTATGTGTTTACACATGCTTATATATACATGTTATATCTGCACACTCATGTTTATAGCAGCATTATTCACTACAGCCAAAAGGTAGAAACATCCCAAATGTGGATGAACAGAAGAATAGATAAATAAAATGTGGCATGTAGGGGGAAGAGGAAATGATGAGTTACTGTTTAATGGGTAGAATTTCAGCTGGGATGGCAAAATCATTCTGGATATAAATAATGGTGATGATTAGAAAACAATGTGAATGTACTCAGTGCCACTAACGTGTACACCTAAAAATGGTTAAAGTGGTAAATTTTATGTTTTATATATATATATAGCCACAAAAAAGAAAAAAAGCTACCAAAAATTTTTTTCACAAGACTGATTCTTTGAAAAATACAACCAAAAAACAAGACCCACACTAGAAAAGAAAGAATACAAATCACCAACATAGCAATGAAAAGGGTGATCATTTATCATCACAAATCCTATAAACATTAAAAGCATGGAAAAAGAATACTATGAACAACATCAGGCAAATAAATTTGACAACTTGGATAAAATGGACAAGTTTCTTGGAAAATACAACTTGCCAAAATTGACATAAGCAAAAGCAGAAAATCTGAAAATCCCTGGGCTCTACTGAAGAACCTGATATTATTACTAAAAACCTTCCCCAAAAGGAAACTCCAGGCCTAGATAATCTCACTGGTGAATTACATCAAATATTCAAAGATGAATCAACATTAATCCTAAACAACTTTAACAAAGAATGTATATAGATGTACAGCAATGAAAAGACTCTCAATATTATTAGTCACTAGGGAAATGCAAGCTAAAAACCTCAATAAGATATCACCACACTCTTACAGCGTTAAGTTTATTTATGTGAAATATATGCTTAAGCAATGTAGCAGAAGTTTATGCTATCTTTTACCTACTGACAGTACACTTTTATAACTTAAGAAATTTCTAGACTTTACCAGTATAGCATAAGTTTATGTATGTTAAATGTATGTTAAGTATATGGAGTTTTAATAAAAATTGGTTTAAATTGTTAATTACTATAAAAGTAACAATAAACCACTCCACTGTTAAATTCTAACCTTGATCAAAATGATTGCTTGATTTTTAAGACCACCCTTATTCACATTGTCCTTTTACTTATACTAGTTCACATTAACCTTCCAATGTCATCAATGAACATTTTACACCGTACCTTTCTGTGGTATTCCATAGCATCCAGTTCACCTTGATTGAAAGCAACACATCTCTTTCTCTTCTAAAGAGTAAATTACAGGGAAAAAATTTTGTGGCCATCCATCACAATATTGATACCTTGAAATACATTAATATTTCTTTTTTATTTATCACATTTTCCATACTGTCTATCTCATTCTTTAAGACTTAATAATTAACTACTGAGGTTGAAAAAAGTGCAAAGAGTATGGACTAGGGAGGTAAACTTTCTCAAATAATCATAATTATTATTACTATTACTACAAACTTAATGGGTGATAAAAGGCCACCTAGGCCTCGTCTGCTATTAGAAAGAACTAGAACGATATAATAAAATGCAGCACTGACATCCATAGACACAAGGAAACTGATACTGTAATAAAGAGTCACCAGTGTAACCTATCAGTTGCTATATGGGGTAATTATTCTGAAATTTCTTAATTTCTACACCAAAGAAAAAAAATCTGCAATGTACTTTTAATAGATCTTTATGCATAATCTGAAGATTGGGTACAAATAAGATATATCTGTTCTACATCTAACAACTCCAAAGAACATGTGAGTATAATACACAGCAGAGACTTTCTACTTTTTGTTGCTGAAATCTCAGTGCCTACATGGTTGCAAACTCCTAGCAGGCTAACGACAAAAGTTTGCTGGCTGAATAAATAAATGGAATCTCTATTACTTTCCTTATTATACTTCTCAACATGCTTTCTTATTTGGTATCTTTCTTCCCCACTCAATTATAAGATCCAAAAGGCAGATTATATCTATCTTGTTTCCTTATTCTGTTTGCAACAGCATATAGAAACATTTATTGGTTGAATAATGAGTGTAATTTCTGTCTCTAACAACAAAAAAAAAAGTTAATATAATCTATCTGAAATGGACTTGGTATAATTATCTCTGAATTCTTCAAGTACATAAAAAGTATTAATTTAAAAAAATTAATTCATAAAATTAATTAAAGCATAATTAATTTGACCCTAATGGCATTCTCAAAACTTCTGATAACACCAATGTGTATACAAATATAAATACTTTAAGAATATACACATTTTCCATAGTAACTTTCTACTTTTATTACTAGAAATCTTTCAAAAATATTACCCTTCTTCCAAACATTTATTATACCAGTTTATCCCCAAAGGAAAAATCTCTAAAATCCCCCCAAATCCATACACTGCTTTAGAATTTTATAGAGAACAAAACATGTTTTTGAGCAAAAATATATGTAAAAACATGCAATTAATACAGAAACCTAAGCAAACAGGGTTTTGTGTGTGTGTGTGTGTAGCTTTGTTTGTTAATTTACAAAGCATTCACTTTTGAATCAACTTTGCTTACTTTTGAAATATGCAAATTTGGTTTTCTAAAAATGGTAGAATGTTAGCAAAAAAATTAAAATTACTCTGGATATCCTAAAGCATCACTATGATTTATTGACTATTCTTTATAATTAGTAAATCACAAGATATCCGAGACACTGGAATAATACATTTGTGTTCTCTGTAGAAAAATAAGAATTTCTTAAGAGTTATTACCTTGCCATTAACAGAAATGGAGATTTCTTTCTTAACATCATCTACTAGATCTTCCTTTTCATTACTTTCTTGGTACTCTTTGTGACTAGCTGAAGTTATATAAGGTTTGCTGACATCAAACAGTTCAGATCGAAATACGTATTTCTGTACGAACATTTCACAATTTCCTCTATCATCATTCTCTGGCTTATTGGTGGAAGCAACAAATGTAGCAGAGGCTCCAAAAGAGGACACAGAATCCACGTGAAGAGAATCAAGGTGAACAGAAGTAGGCTGGCTTTTACTACAGCAAGGCTCATGATGCTGGTGAAGTTCATAGCTTATCTTGTTAATGAAAGCGAGGTGATCCAGCAGCCATCCTGGTAATAGCTCATGCACCACAGACATTCTCTTCCTTTAAAACATACAAATACCTCTTGGAATCAGAGACTAGAAGTAAAACCCTAGTTTGACTGGAAGTAAAACTTCCCTGAGAAATTCTTAAATGTCCTGTCTATCAATAAAAATATACTTCATACACACGTAGATTTTATGTGCAAGTATATAAACTTGAATATACACAGAAGCGAATTTAAAATTTTTGAGTTGTTAATATGTATAGTAGGACTAAGAAAAACTAAAAAACATTGCAATGAAACATTAAAACAATATAAACTTTTTAATATCTATTTTTTAAGTAAAGGATAAGTAGTTTACAGAGTTTTGCTGTTTTCTGTCAAACCTCAACATGAATCAGCCATAGATATACACATATCCCCTCCCTTTTGAACCTCACTCCCAATTCCCTCCCCATCCCACCCCCTAGGTTGATACAGAGCCCTTGTTGGAGCTTCCTGAGACATACAGCAAATTCCCATTGGCTATCTATTTTACATATGGTGATGTATGTTCCCATGTTACTCTCTCCATACATCTCACCCTCTCCTTCCCGTTCCTCATGTCCATAAGTCTATTCTCTATGTCTAAAACAATGTAAACTTTTAACTTCAGGGTTGATAATTCAAAAATTTCAGCCAACTTGACCAAAGAGGGTGAAAACCTGACCTTATTTCTGGAATTCCAATGAGATCCTCCTGTTTCTCGAGCCTCCATACAACCTCCTGCTTGGCACCTGGCTCTAGCCAGTAGGTCTACAGCTATAAGTCACGAAGACACTGAATCCTCAAATAGTGAGTGTCCTGTCAAACCAAAGAATATTGCATTACCTGTGAGAATTCAGCCTGTTAAGTGACATAAGCCTAGAGAAGACCACAGAATTTCCATAGGAGCTGTTAGGGTGTCAGCTCGTTTTTAAACCACACTTACTACAGTAAGCCCCTCCAGCACAACTGCTTTACTAATCACTGCTACCAATGGAGTGCAGAAAGAGTCAAAACAGAGCAAAATGCAATTTTAACAGGCTATCAGAAGCACTAACCCCGAGTAAAACTGCAAGGTAAAGAGTCCGGATCTGCAACTGGTTCTGAGCAGTCCTCTTCCGGCAGCTAGGTTTTTTTCAGAACTTATCTTTTCCTAAAAGACAGTCTTAGGGAATTCCCTGGTAGTCCAGTGATTAGGACTCTGGACTTTCACAGAGGCTGGATTCCAGGTTCTCGGTTCCAGTCCCAGTCAGGGAACTAAGATCCCATAGGCCAAATGGCACAGCCAAAAGAAAAAAAGACCAAAAAAGGCGTTAAGTTCTGGATTTTCCTTACTAAACACTGTGTAGTGGAGAACTTAAAAGGGGATATAGAATAAGAAATAAAATAAGAAATACATTAAGCCGGTTAATAGCACAGCTAATAACAGTAGCAATGAATATAGATTGAAATTTCTAACACCATTTGCATTAGCATTATGACCATGGACCAGTCATTTGATTTCACTGAGCTTCGATTTTATCATTTTAGGACATCTTAGGGGGCAGTTTAGGGAATTATATGAGGTAACTAACTTTAAGTGTTGTATTCGTGTTTCACACAAAGCAATCAAATAACTACTACTGGTGACAGTAATTCTGTTACTGGTCCTCCCTTCAGATTCATCAGGCTTCCCACGTGGCTCAGTGGTAAAGAATACCTCTGCCAAAGGAGACACAGGAGACGGGGATTTTATCCTTGGATCAGAAATATCCCCTGGAGGAAGAAATGGCAACTCATCCCAGTATTCTTGCCTGGAAAATCCCATGAGCAGAGGAGCCTGGCGGGCTACAGCCCATGGGGTCTCAAGAGTGGAGGCAACTGAGCATCAGAGTCACCACTGGTGGTGAGGCGGTCTTAAAACGGAGAGTGCACGCTAGAAGTGCAGATGGGAAGGCTGAAACTCACACAGGAAAGGTGACTTGCCCTAAAGTATGTGTGGTGACCCTAGGACGAAAGAGCAGATAAAACCAAGGAGGGTCTTGAAAGGCAGGAACAGAAAAACCAGACCCTTATGGTCCTTCCCTCCCCATGTTCTAACTATTAATGGAACAGTATAACCTGTGTCCCCTCCTACTCCATAGAGAGAAGGTATTTGCCCTACTCTTCCCCCACCCGGTATACATGTCTCATCCAATCAGCAAATGACCCGCAAGACCCCTATTCCACTCCTTGTACCCTGGGGATAAAAGTGGACTAAGGACCCCTGTTCAACGTCAGTTTTCCCTTGAGCTGGCCCGCTGTTCTAACAGCGTCTCTCATTCTAAAACTTTCTCATTCTCAGCGTTTCTCATTCTAAACTTTATTTCCCTCTCATTCTGTCTCAGGTCTGGAAATCCTTTTCCAACCCGCACGCGGACCACGACAGATGGCACAACTGCTACAAGACCCAGGTATCCAGTCCTGGAGCTCTGAGCTCCCCGTCACTCCCACCACTTTTCAGGTTTGGGGCTGTGTTTGCCTCTGAGTTCAAACTCAGGGAAGCGGGTGATGTCCTGTTTTAGCAAAGTGGCTTACTGGGCTCCCCTGCTAGTTCAACCGTAAAGAATCTGCCTACATCAGCAGCGCGACCCTGAGGACGACTGCGCCCACATTCTGTCACTAACGCCTACCTCGCCGCCTTCCCAGACTTACTTCATGAAACAGCACGCGTCTAACCCAGAGATCCTGAAAGACAAGCTTTTCAGGACAAAGTTGGGGAGGGGGGTGGCAAACAAAAAATTCTCCTTTTCTAAGAGTCGATGGGAGCGGCCATGTTGCTGTACGGAAAAAGAAAAAAAAAAAAAAACGCGTTTCCAGGCCTGGAGCGCTCTGCTCGCTACTCAGTGATGTACAGCGCCCCGACATTCACCGTTAAATTCAAACGTCGGACCTGACTTTGCAGAGGGCGCTTACAATGGCCAGGAAAAGCCAGTGCAGCCGGTGAGGTGGCGGCGCCCCAGCAACACGCAAAACTTCCGGCGACGAGGAGCAGCGCGCGAGAATTGCGTACGAGAGTTGCGCACGAAAATTGCGCACACGCGCTCACGTCCTGCGCGATGACGTACACGCTGGCGGAGATTTTAAAATTCGAAAGGCGGCGGCGGGTGGAAGGAGTTTGTGTTTTGGCGGCTGCTGTCCTGTCCAGCGGGCAGTTGCAGGGTTTACAGCAATTCGCTCCCTGGATCGTGACGGGAAGCTGGGAGAAAGGTAACTAATGATTTTGGGTGGATTTTGCTCTGGGCAGCGGGAGAGAGAACGCCAGGTCGCCAGGTTAGATTCACAAGCCCTGGGAGGCGACGTTTTGGTGTTTGTTGTTGTAACCGACCTCTCGAGCCAGTCGGTACGAGGCGCTAGTTTCCCGGAGTCCAGTAAATTTCCTACGGCAGTGATTTTCCGAGGGAGAAGGGGAGGGCCAAGCGGACACTGATGGGAAGAAGAGGGCCTGGAGAGAGAAAAAAGGGAAGAATTCATGACAGCACACAGAGGAAGACAAGATGAGGAACTGTTTGCTGTTTTTGCGTTTGAGCTATTAGTGTAGCATCCCGATTGCCGTGTACGGAGTATATCCAGAAGTATTAATCTCAGATTCTGAGAGTACATTTTAAGTGGAGATTGGGAGGAAACATATAGATGAGAGTGGAAGAGTTTAATAGATACAGAAGTGTATACTGAAGAAGAAATGGGTGTCCACACAAAGAAGGAAAGAGTATATCAGTTTCAAAGACAAAGGAGAGCTTAGAGAAAAGGATAACCACAGATGTCCATTGTCCTGGAAACCAGGGCAGGACCTGGAAAGGTGAGGAGTACAGTGTCTAATGCCTGAAAGACAAGATCCTGTTGCAGAGAAAAGCCAATTCTGACTCTAGTTAGAACTGTTTCTTTGACTTGTTTTCTGTTGCTTTTGTTATTATAATCATATATAATGGCCGACCTCAGAGAATCCTGCCCCTCTGCCTGACTGTTAAAGTGCCTTTGTTCCGAACGCTGTCCACCTGTAAATAACAGGAGGGAAGAAATTAACACGTCCCCTGCCTAAGGCTTGCCATTCTAAGAGATATTCTCAAAATTAATGGCCGTTTTACTTTATTTCCTCACCTCCCTGGCATCTCTGATCTATAAAAGAACCTGGCATTTCAGTTAGCTCTTTCAACACCATGTCTCAGATTAATTGGCCTGTCCTGCAGCGATCAGAGTGAGGTTGGACTCAGTAACAATAGGATCCGAAGATTTGTCAGTGAAAGATACCCCAGGAGGTGGAAAGGGAGTGAGATGTGAATGTAGTCTGAGTAAGTGGAAGCGGCCTGTAGGCCAGATAATTTATCCTTGATAAAAGGGAGATTGAATCAAGAGAGCCAGTAATTGAAGAATATAAATGAGAAAGAGAAGGATAAGGACAGAGCTAAAGAGGATGGACATTAGGAAAAGAAAACAGGATGGTTTCCTTTGAGACCAAAGGAAACATCAGAGGTAGTTGTTGTCAGGTGGCCTGACTTCCCATCGAAATAGGCACAGCCAACAGTGGTGATGTGATCTGAGTTAGGATTCAGGGTTTTAACTACCATAAATTCCCTTGTGAAGAGGAATCATACCTTTTTCACCTTTCTATTGTTTGCACTGCTTTGCACACTCCTTTGTACATGGTAGGCAGTTAGTAAGTATTTTCGTGTGTTGAGTATTTTTAAAGGATATCAAATAGATAAATACTCCCTGTAAATGAGGACTTCACCTTACATGAACAAGATAACTCAGGAAGGAGCAATGGAACTTGGCTGCCTTTCTGTTTGAGGATGAAGATAATAGTTGAGGTTTAATGTACCATCTACATGTGGAAAGACTTGTTTAATACCAAATTCATGAATGCAGGTCATAAGCATGAAACGCAGTTCAGTTTCCACCGGTGGTGCTGGCCGCCTGTCTATGCAGGAATTAAGATCCCAGGACTTAAATAAACCAGGTCTCCATACCCCTCAAACGTGAGTACCACATGCCTTATTGTCTTGGCAGAGAAATCTGTAAAGGTGGTTAATGCAAAGATGTAGTGTGAGTAATACTGTGATGAATCTTGTCTGTTGCCAGCGGTACCTGATTTGGAGTCAATGAAAGCTGAGAGTAGGCGCGACACTAGGGTTGTATCTTATCTCATTTGATACTTAAATCTCAAAAGCCACATCCTTTGTAAGGCAATCTCTAAGGGACTGCCAATTCCCCTTCAGTGCCCTTTCATTCTTATTTTCCTGCTTTCCACAGAGCTGCTTGTTTGAGCAGGTTCTGTGCTATAATTTGCAGTTTACTACAGTTTATTCAACTAGCACAGTTCTCAGTCAAAACCACTACTTGCTCTGACAATTAACTGCAGTTTAGGAGCCACCTATAGAACACTGCTTCTCTGAACTATTTCCTGGAGATTCAATGGTGTCCAAAAAAGGTGTCCAGAAGAACTTGCTATTACTGAATTCAATATCCTCTAATAATGTATAATAATTGTAATGGAAAAAAATCTGAAAAAGTATACGCATGTGTATATATTTATGTATATACATGCAGGATATTACAGGAATCCCAACAAACTTTCTGGCCAACCCTATATAATAAACACTCAGTTTGGTGTATACCTGTAACATCGTAAATCAACTATGCTTCACATTTTTTTTTTTATATTTTAAATAAAAAATCAGCTGTGGGGGGAGAACTTTCAGTCATAAACTAATTTTTCCCTATGAATGATTTTCTTAAAATTAAAAGAAGGCTGTTTGTAATCTATGTGAGTTGTATCAATCCTATATTACCAAGGTACAAGGTACTTGCTAATTGCTCTTAAATTACTTAGGTTTACATTGTATGAGCCTCTGCTCTTTTTAGAAATTTGAAATATTTCTACATTTTTTTCTTCTGAAATCAAATTTTTTGTACTTTTGTACATTACTACTGCAAAAGATTTGTGCCTTAAATTGTGTCAGAAGGTAAAAGACTGCTTTTTTGTCAATATTTTTGGTCAGTAATTGACAGAATGTATGTTCTTGAGTATAGCCACATTCTAATAAAGAGTAAGCCTCAAAAGAACAAAATTTAAATGTGACTATCAGTCTATGATTGAAAATACCTATTTTTAAATTACTCATTTTCCTTTGAAGTTGTTTTCCATAAATGTACATATTTTAAGATAATTAAAGTAACAATGTAGATATGGGTTTTTTCCCACTTTCTTCTTAACACTTTAGTTAAGCAAATATATACTATATTGTAAGTTTATCCCATTTATAACAACTGTAATTGCTGCTGAAAATTTTCATGCTTTTGGATTATTTTTGTAGGGAATGGGTAACGTATTTCCAAAAGTCTCTTGAACTAATATTTTTCCATTCATTTGAAGAGTTTGTTTTTCTCCTTTTCTTAAAGCAAAGAGAAATCAACCTTTGGAAAACTAAATATAAACAGACCCACATCTGAAAGAAAAACCTCTGTATTTGGTAAAAGGTAATGATATTTTTTATTAATTTTAATGGAAAAGATTCTTATAGCCATACATTGAGTTAAATGCTAAAAGTACAAAAAATTAGATATCATGGCCCCTTTTAAGAGAAAGTTTTAATCTTGTTTTCCTCTGTTTTAAATGGTTAAATTGGTTATATTTGCCTTAAATGATGCTGAAAGATACATCAGAACATTCAGACCACTGTTTCATTGTTACAACTGAATACTTGATGGAAAATTCTTCACATAGATACTCTGGAATCAGAGCATTTTAACATTCGGAATCGTCATCTAGTCCAACATTTTAGTCACAGACTATTTAATACTCTTAAATATTATCAAACCAGTCAATCCTAAAGGAAATCAATGCTGAATATTCATTGGAAGGACTCCTGCTGAAACTCCAGTGCTTTGGCCACTTGATGCAAAGAGCTGACTCATTGGGAAAGACCCTGATGCTGGGAAAGATTGAGGTCAGGAAGAGAAGGGGACGACAGAGAATGAGATGGTTAGAAGGCATCACCGACTCAATGGACATGAATTTGAACATACTCTGAAAGATAGTGAGGGACAGGGAATCCTGGCGTGCTACAGTCCATGGGGTCACAAAGAGCCAGATATGACTTAGTGACTGAACAACAACAAAACAAATATTATGGACTCTTATTTTATGGGCTATATCTATAGATATTAACTATATTAGAAATTGAAACTGAGGGGGAAATTTTTAATATTTATTCATTGAATTTAAAATAACAATAACCCATTACATGTTAACATAAATAACATGCTTTTATTTTTTAAAACATTTTTTAAAAACAAAAGTATTTCAGTGAGAAGGGTGACATTGTTTTACGTTTTTGCAGTCTCTTAATGTCTGGCTTCATAGAAGGTAGCTAGATTCTCATCTGTTTCTGAACTCAGTCTGCTGCGGTGTCTGACATCATGTAGCCAGCCTTTGGAAAACTCCACTGTACACTCAGGAGAGAGAGGATGAGAACGAAATGGGTGAAAAAGAACCTTAATTTTATTGTGAAAAGAGTTTTGACTTCTCAGATCCCTGAGATCACCCTTTGAGAACCGCTGTCTAGAGTAGATCAGAGGTTGTTTGGAGTGAGGTAAGGATTGACTGTTCAGAGCGATGAGACTTTGGGATAATGGAAATGTTTAATTTTGATCATGGTAGAATTTTCACAGGTGTGTACCTTGTCAAACCTGATCAAACTGTATGCTTTAAGCTGGTGCATTTTATTCTAAGCAAATTATACCTCAATAAAGTTAATTTTTTTTAAGAAATTCCCAACTCCAAACAAACATTTTTTTTTTTAATCTCAGTCAGTCAGTTCAGTCAGTTCAGTTCAGTCTCTCAGTCCTGTCCGACTCTTTGCGACCCCATGAATCGCAGCATGCCAGGCCTTCCTGTCCATCACAAACTCCTGGAGTTTACTCAAACTCATGCCATTGAGTCAGTGATGCCATCCAACCATCTCATCCTCTGTCATCCCCTTCTCCTCCTGCCCC